GTCAGCTGTGCTGCGGCTGCGAAGCTGCTGTGTGGGAGGTGACTCCACGGTGTGGTTCTGTAGGGCGTCACTGAGCAGGCATCGCGTCTGGCAGGGAAGAGTTTTAGTCTGTGACCCAGAAAGATCGAGTGGGAAGCCGCTGCTGACAGTGTGAGTGGTGATCAGGGAGAGCTTGCGAAGGAGCCCAGGGCCAGAGATCAGGAGCGGAAAGGGCACGAAGAAGAGAGACAGTGGGATGTACCCCAGCCGGGTGTGCTCGGCGGAGCCTTCTGGCTGAGCTCTTGCATAGGGAGAAAAAGCAGCCAGGGTAGCACGTAGCCTCGACGTTAATATATATGTATTATGTAATTAATGGCATATATATCACGGTTTTCATAACCTGGGGCTACGTCATACACATGGGCGCCCCTTCAAGAAGGTGATGGAAATGTATATTCTGAAAAAATTGTGCATGGATTGATATTTTTTTTTGGTACCAAAAGAAGCTTGTACATAAATTCCGTTTTCCCACAAACTTTTGAAGTCTCCTTGTACCTTCCGTACATGAGCTGACTCCAACCTGTGGTTAACGTGGATGGGAACATGGCCCGGTGGCTCACGTGTCCCCCCAGAGCAGTTGGTCGCTTGCAGAGGCCACAGTGCCTTCACTGCTGGCCTCGAGGCGGCCGTCGTTCTTGGTGCTGTGCTTAGAATGGCTGTGAGAGCGATGGCAGAGATCCCGAGGGCAAGGGGAGCAAGCCCTTTGGGGAGGTTTAGCTGGGGACACTCCGCCGTACACCAGGCTAAGGTGGCAGGCGTTCTGAACTGTAAGACAGACGGCGTTTACTCTCTCATAGCTCGTGACATTCTAGTTCAGAGTGGAATTACAGAGTTTGAAAGCAGAGCTCTATAGAATAAATGCCATTTCTTTTTTTTTTTTTTTTTTTTCTGGAGAGGTTTTTGTTATAGAGGGCATGCACTCTCCAGAGAGACGGAGATCGAAAGCGAGAAATCACCCCCTGGGGGGATGGCCATGCCACAATCCCTTCTTTGCTATTCTCCCCTCACGGTCCTGGGCTTGCATGCACATGCGCCCGGCGTGATTTCAAGCCACTGGATCCGGGACTCAAACCGTGGTCGACTAAATGGGAGTCCAGCAACATAGCCATTATGCCAACTGCTGGTCCCAGAATAAACATCATTTCTTAAAGGCATTTTCGTTAATTTCTTTAAACAGTGTGTTCGCTGCTTTTTATCACACATAAAAGGGCTCTTCAAAATGTTGGTGGGGTGGGACAGGTCTCGTAGTACAGTGGTTGAAGGAGCCAGATTCCAGATGAGCATGTGCAGTTTGAGTTCCAGCCCTGGCAGCTTAAAAAACAGCACTAGGCTCTTTGGCTGCATGCCCAGAATCCTGGTGGAAAAGACAAGTGGACAGAAAACCTGTGCTTGATCATACTGGGGGCTTCTCTCTCTCTGGCAAGCACATGCAGCCTCTAGCAATTCAACATTTATGGGAAATGGATCTTATAAAGAAACTGCACAGATGCAGTTTCCTCCAGTTCTCTGTCATCAGGATCCCGGGCACGTGTGTGCACGCCCAGCATGAAGCCCAGTGGACTGAGACTCAAAGCCCAGTCCCATCAGGATCCCGGGCACGTGTGTGCACGCCCAGCATGAATCCCAGTGGACCGAGACTCAAAGCCCAGTTGGCCATGTGGGAGCTGACTTCTGCACCTAACCACGTGGCTTAGGCCAGCCCTGAACTCGTATTTTAATTCCATTTTCCCACAAACCTTTCGAAGTTCCCATGTATGAACGTCATGCATTTTCTGGCAAAACTTAAAGGAGAACATGATTAAGACAGGCAAGCTGGGCTTTAAAATGACGTGTTAGTTAAAATCTAGTCAAGCAATACCTTTGGAGCTCCTACTCTGCCTTTATAGATGATGTTCTCTTGGATCAATAATTGCGTTAATGTTTGAACTGCTAAGTATAAATAGGAAAAAACTTAGGAATTTTAGTTTTATAAAGAGATCTCGATTTCTGAGGCCAGCGTGGGTTTCTAATATTTAACTTAAAATGCTATGGAAGTCACGTGTGCTGTCTCCATGTCACAGTCTTTCTCCTCCATCTGGGACAGTGTGACTGGTGTCTTGTCAGTGTTACTTTTTCTGTCTTATTAATGGTCATGAGTTGTGATTTAAAAGCTTCAGTGGGGAAGGAGCAGCAGGTGTATGGTTGTTAAGGCAGTGGATTCCCACATATCCTACTGTAGTTTGAGTCCTAGACCTGGCAGCTTAAAAATCAGGCTTGGCCCCAAACCCCAAGAGGAGAGTAGAGCAGGGATTGCAGTGTCGCCATCCTCCCGGGCGGTGACTTCCCATTTGCCGCCTTCTGTCTCTGGCAAGCACACGTGCCCGAAGACAGAAACCTAACCATAATAAAACAGCTTCAGTGTGGAAGTGAGATCTTTGCCAGGAGAACTGCGTTGACTTTTAACTTGTTCTTCCAGTACTCGGGTTTCCTATTTTGCTGTTTTTGATGGACACGGAGGAATTCGGGCTTCAAAATTTGCTGCACAGAACTTGCATCAGAACTTAATCAGGAAATTTCCTAAAGGTGAGACAACTAAATTGGTTAACACATACTTTGTTTTTCACCATTTAGGTAATTACATGCATCAGTCAGATGCGCCGTTTTGACTTTAGCAATGAATTGTTGACAGTTCGTTAAGAGCGAGGCTGAGCGAGGACAACAGGTGGTGTAGTGGTTTAGGTACTGGGCTCCCATATGGTCACCTGTGGTTCAAATCCTGGACTTGGTGGCTTGAAACTCACACCAGTGGCATTCGGGTGCATGCTCAGAGGCCTGAGAGAAGAATGGAGGAGAAGGGATTGCAGTATGGCCATCAACCCCCAGGGGTGATTTCTCAGTTTCTGTCTCTCCAGCAAGCACATGCTCCCTATAGCAAAAATCTCTTAAAAAAAAAAAAAGGCAGGGCTCAGCAGTGTGGCCTAGCATGGTACTTTCATACCTCTAAGTTAGTGACACCTCTCTTGGACATCTCTGAGGTACAGTGAGTATTTTACCTGTGCACTTGGGAAATGAGAAAGTCAAATTCAGATAGCACTGCCTTGATAGGTGAGAAAACGGAGTGGCTCTTAGCCTCGTTTTGGAGTTAACCGATGTGTCAAAGTCGAAAAGCAAAATGACAGTAGGAGGAGGGTAATCTTCCCTGCTTGAAGTCCTTTTCTTTGGCCCGTCTGTAACAGGAGATGTGATCAGTGTAGAGAAAACTGTGAAGAGATGCCTTTTGGACACGTTTAAGCATACCGACGAGGAGTTCCTCAGACAAGCTTCGAGTCAGTAAGTGTGCCACGATGGAGCCCGGCCGGTACTTTCCCCACTGCGTGCCGGGCCTCCCGAGAGCGCTCCAGGCTGGCGTCTATGCTTGAAAGTGCCCAGCACCAAATAGGCGCCTAGAGTCATGAGCTAAATCGAGAGGGAGACCAGAACCGAGGGAACGGTCCGTTTGAAACACGGAAGCCCCTTCCGAGTCAGCACTGGGACCGAGTCTCAAGTACTCGGCTGTCAGTGGTGACTGTGTCTCTGATGTGTCTCCCTCCAGGAAGCCTGCCTGGAAAGATGGGTCCACTGCCACGTGCGTCTTGGCCGTAGACAACATTCTTTATATTGCCAACCTCGGAGATAGTCGGGTACGTGGCTCTGGGCCGTCCACTTAGATGGCAGCACGTCTCATGGGGAGTGAGACGACAGCGATGGTGGTGGGAGACATTCCCTTCAGGAGGCTGCCGAGGGCGTGCTGCTGAGGGGCGTGCTGCCACGGGGCCGTGACCGCTGCGCGGGCGCAGCTGAGTGAGGCAGCCCACTCTCCGGAAGACTTGGCTCTACTGCCCCAGTCAGTCCCTTGTTTTTCTTTTCCCTTGTGGTTTTTTTGTTTTGTTTTTTTTTTTTTTGCATATGTGATGTGGGTCTGAATTTCATCAATATGCAAGTATCTCAAATAGTTGTAAACTTTATTTCTCTGACTTCTGACAGTAATAAATGAAAAATACTAACACCCTGCTTCTCAAAATCATTGTGATTTTGGGAAGCACGAAAGCCATAGCTAGAAAAGTTCTAGGAGCCCTTCATCCCCTGAGCCCAGGGAGAAAGCCAGGTGGTGTTCCCCACTGGCAGCAGTGGGGACTGACGTAAGCCTGGAGGTGGCTTTGTCAGGCTGGCCTGAGTCCCTTCTCACATCAGGGTCAGATACTCAGCTCCAGTGCTGCATTTCCAGCTCACTCTGTCTCGCCCCCGATGCATTTGGGGGTTTTTCATCAAACTCACGCCCGAGCACTAGGAGTGGAGCAGGGAGTGTGACATGCCCTCTGTGTTGGGCGGAGGTCCTGTTCTGATGACTCTCTAGCAGGCTAACGACCACATCCGTGTGTAGACCAAGGGACTTAGAAATCCCAGGGGGAAGCGTGTCCTCCCCCCAAAGAAAGTAAATAAGTAAGTAAACCGCTCTGGAGTCAGGCCCAGCTTGAACCCTGTCCCTCCTGTGTGACCTCAGGTACATCACTTACCCTCTGCCTCAGGGCCTCCAGCACAGCCCCGGTGCCCCGGCGTGGCCCTGGCGTGACCCGACTGCAGAGGCCAGGGCGTGCCGGGGCACTCGACTAGCATGCCCCACTTGTCCTTCCCTTTACCTCTGGTTGTTTCAAGGATTCACATCTTTGGTCGTGTTATCCCAAGCCAAAAGTGGCCTTGATGAAGCTGAGTGTCACAGCTGTGACAGTGGCTAGTCTCAGAATCGATCCAACTCTAAGAGCCCCGACTCCTGTCACAGCTGTGACAGCGGCCAGGCTAAGGGAGTGGCTGTGGCCATCCAGCAATACCTGCACCAGAGTTCAGACCAGCTCCTGGGTCCTCCCTGACTGGTGTTCCCACGGCCCCTGCGGTTTAGCGCTTGGCTGATGCCGCGTCTCTGAGTGTGCGGGCCAACGGAGGCTGAGCCTGCAGCTCTGCTGTTAGCGTTTCTCTCCAGCGGGTGACTGGGCTCTGGACGCATCGAACCTCACAAGGCTGTCGTCCTCTCCCCCTTCCTAGGCAATCCTGTGTCGTTACAATGAGGAGAGTCAGAAACATGCAGCCTTAAGTCTCAGCAAAGAGCATAATCCAACCCAGTACGAAGAACGAATGAGAATACAGAAGGCTGGAGGAAATGTCAGGTAACCAGGGGGGACGGAGGCCCTGGGCAGGGAGGCCGGTCAGCTGTGGAAGTGGCCTCAAGCCCTCAGAGAAGGAGCACTTTTCGCGAAACACAGGCCCTGGCCTGACTCTCCCGGAAGCACGTGTGCTGAGATGTGGTCGTGCAGGATTGAGGGGAAGACGTAATCTGGCTGATGCTGACAAGCGGGGCCTTTGGGAGGAGATCAGGGTTAAGGTAACTAGTGCAGGGCCCCAGCTGTCGACTCCTGGGGGGTTTGTGAGGAAGGGAAGGAGACAGACGTGTGGACACGGGTGCACCTTCTGCTGCTCTCTTCCCTGCTTGACACAGCTAGGAGACCCCACTAGCTGTGGCTCCAGACCTCGGACCTCCAGGCTGTGAGCTGACTGACTCTTAAATTATTCAGACTCAGAGTTTTCTGCTGCTAGCAACAGATAGGCTGGAACATGGTGTGCTCCATGAGGCTGTTTCAGAGCCTGCTGCTGGTGGTGCCGGTGGTGGTGGGCGGCCGTGGGTTCACATGTCCAGCTGGAGCAAACGTGTACCAGAAATGTGCCTCCCTAAATTTGCAGAGGTAAAGCCTGTCTCAAATTCACACTCCCCATTTGCAACACTTCAACTGTGCCTAAGGAGTTTCTAAGTTCTGTCACCGTCATGCTGAGCAAGCTGCAGTTTTAGGTGCATGCTCCTGGGGGGGACATCTGCAGTGGCTGGGCAGGGTGGCTTGTGTGCGTGCGGACTGTGGCCTCTCTGGGAGCAGCTCCCTGGCACAGAGGCCCAGATCTTGCCTGTCCTTGTCTTCAGCAGTTCCAAATCTGCTCTCTAACAAATCTTGGACGACTGCAAGGCTGCTCTGGTTTATCTTCTGCCATCTCTCCACAGCACCTGAAGGAGAGCAAAAGTCTTTTCTGTGAGGGAAATTCCACTCTGCAGACATTGCATCAAGAAGTGTTTTTTTGATTGATTGTGCATTCGACCATTAACATTTTACTTTCTGTTGCAGGTGAGAGAGGGGTAGTCCTCTCTCTCGGTGGCACTGCGCACTGCGGTTTGTCCTTCAAAGTGTAGCTTCTGCTGTTTGTTTTGGTAACGTCTCTGCCGTTGCCCTAGGCTGTCTAGCCAGTGGTGCAGGAGGCCTCTTGGAGGAGTCGGAGCTCCTGGATTAGGAAGTGGTGGCCACGGTCTCCTGGTCTATGAAGGCAGTAGGTCACGGGCCTCGTCTCAGGTGTGGACGGTGCTGTTCGGTCTGTGCCTCTGCAGCTCCTGTCCTGGTCACGGACGTGGAGCGTGTGACCCTCATGCTAGTGCTCATTCATCTCTGTCTCGTAACTGCGTTCTGCTCCTGCCTGACTGAGACGATTTCTCTGTTGACAGCCCCGTTGCTGCCAGTAGGGCTCGCCGTGTTGTGTGTACATCCTCCCAGGATGGCAGTCGGGTGCCTTAGGTCATGGACAGTGGGCTTGGAGTGCCCTTTGTCTCGCGCAGGCCCTGGCCCTCTGCCGGGTAGCAGAGCCCTCTGACCTGCTCGCCGTCTGAGGCAGGTCTCCCATGTTCCAAAGCTGTCTTTTCCCCACAAAAATAGTTTCTGTGTCTTTCCTGTAACTGTAAGGCAGGTGTGAGGCCTCCTTTAGAGTCAGATGAAGTGTTTTAGTGAAGATGTTTGTGGGGGCTGCTGCATATGCAGTAGGCCCTCTCCCTTCAGTAATGCACTGTTGGTGACGTGTCCCAGCACGGGGCCCTGGAGCAGCCACCAGGTGGCTCCAGGTAGCCCCTTGTCATCAGCAGGTAATCTGGGGCACACTTTGTGACCCCGTGCATGCTCCACTTCCTGCCACCTGATGGTCTTAGCATCTCTCTCTCTCTTTTTTTTTTTTTTTTTTTTAAAAGTTTTTTTTTATGGGGGGGGGCAAAAAAAAAATTTTTAGAAGTTTTTGCTATAGGGCGTGTGCACTCGCCAGACAGACAGAGAGACAGAGAGAAAGCAAGAAATCACCCCCCAGGCGGGATGGCCACACCACAATCCCTTCTCCTCCATTCTCCTCTCGGGATCTTGGGCACATATGCACACGTGCCGGGTGTGAGTTTTAAGTCACCGGGTCCAGGACGCGAACCGCCATTGACTATGTGGGAGTCCAGCAACATGGCCATTACGACAACTGCTGGTCCCGGTCTTAGCATCTCTTAATGATCCTTGTATGAATCATCATTTCACTGGGGATGGCAAAAGATGATTTCTGTAGTCTGTGGCTCCTTCCACATTTATTACCGGCCATTCTGTAAGGACAGTCTTTCCCTCATAAACAGGGAATGAACCGATTCTTCCAGAAAAGCAGAGAAGGGCTAGCCATGAAGCATGCAGTGGTCGGGTGGTACACACTGGTTCTCCCAGGCCAACGGGTTCAGGTTCCAGTCCAGTCAGTGTCAAGCCAAATGCGCATGTATGCAGCTTAGGCCCCTGGGATGGTGGGAATTTTAAGGAAAATGTTCATATGTGACCAGACCCCACTAGGGGTGGCCTCCCCTGTTGTGCATGTGCCCTCTGGCATTAAAAAAAGAAAAGAGGCAGAATGAGCATTCACCTCAGTCCTCTCGTGACTAGTCTGCAGAGTGAGGCGGCCATTGCAGTCGTGGAGCGGCTGCCTTCGCTCTGCGATACCCCCCCCATACCCCCTTGATGCCCCTGTGCCTGATGCCATCTGTCCAGGGCATCCCAGATCCGTGAGCAGGAGCTCCCTTGGCTGGTTCTCTTGTTCTTTCCACAGATCCGCATTAATCTTTAAGAACCAGAAACCGCTGGCTGGGATTCTCCATTTCATGGAAGGTGGGGTGGAGTGGTCACTAATTCTAAGTCTGTCAAGGACAGAGCGACAAAACACAGGTTTTCTTTTAGAGAGATTTTTGCTATGGGGCACGTGTGCTCGCTGGAGAGACAGAGACAGACAGAAAGCGAGACATCACCCCCTGGGGGGATGGCCACGCCACAATCCCTTCTCCTCCACTTGGAATTGTGGACATGCATGCACACATGCCTGGTATGAGTTTCAAGCTGCTGGGTCCAGGACTTGAACCATGGTCGGCCATGTTGAAGTCCTGCGACATAACCATCATGCCCTCTACTGGTCCCCACCCACCCACATTTTAAATCACAAATGTAGGTTTCTGTTTTTTACTTGAATTTGTCATTACAGGATTGTCTTTTCTTTGATTTAATATTTGTAGGTCTTTTCTGTTATGCTAAAAATTCTTGGCTCCTACCTAATAACCTTAGCACGTGTCAGTCAAAATAGTTCTGCATCTAGTATCAGAATTACCACTTCTCGTCAGCTCTGCTCTTGGCTGTTCCTCTCTGTTCTGGACTTGCACACCACGCTGAAGCCAGAGTGTCGTGTGCAAGGTGAAATGATTTCACCGTGGGCATGCTACCACTCTGGTCGGGAGAATCATCAGTTGGTTCTCGGTGTTCGGGTTTTTGCTCTTTGTAAACTGCACAGAGATGCTGGAACTCCTGTGCGTTGCTGGCGGGAGTGTAAAGTGGTCTGGCTGTGGGAGACGGTACGGCCGTCCTCGGGAGCTAAACGTCGGCTCCCCGTGTGCACCAGCGGCTCCATGCCTGGGTCTGTGGCCGAGAGCTGAACGCAGAGCCAGCCGGTGCGTCTGCACCCAGGGTTGCGCACCCTCGTCTGTTCCGAGGCTCCGCCTCTATGCACAGCGTGGGGTTAGGCCGGGAGCTCACCGGGAACCCTCGGCTGAGTGGGCGCTCTGCTCTGGGGCTATAGAGGGGGCCATTCATGGGCAGCCAGGGAGGTAGCAGCTTCTCCCCCTTCGGCTCTTCTGCACCCCTGCACCCCGAGGCAGGCAGAGAGCACCGCAGGACCCACGGCCCCAGGGAAGAGATGGGCTTCAGGGCCTGGGCGCACTGCCCACGGTGGCTGAGAGGGAAACAGAGCGTCCCCCCACACACACCGTCCCCCCACCACAGCCGTGCTGGCCCTGCCGCATGTTGGCGTCACTAGGAGCTGCAGAGTAGGAAACGCTGCCAGGGTTCTGCCCGGTGCGGTCAGGCCCGGCTCTGGGGTGTGGGCCCTGGTTCCAGGGTCAGGCTGGGCAGTCCACGGGGCCACCGTGGCCAAGGACAGCAGGAACAGTGGACAAGGACAGCAGGAAAACAAAGACCCGGCAGTGCTACGTGCTACTCGAGGCTGAGAAGAGCCGGCACGGTTGACGGTGTGGCCTCACTCCGTCCTGCCGCTTTGTGCTTTTGGGAGGGGGCTATGTGGCTGCGTGGCTGTGGGGCCACTCCCACGGGGGCTGACAGTGTCTCCCTGCTCTAGGGACGGACGTGTCTTGGGTGTGCTGGAGGTGTCCCGCTCCATCGGGGATGGGCAGTACAAGCGCTGTGGGGTCACTTCTGTGCCGGATATCAGACGCTGCCAGCTGACCCCCAATGACAGGTAAGGTGGCCTTACCCGGACCAGGAACCTCCACGTGACTGACTCTTCCCGACTCCTTCCCACGTATGAAGCCTTCGCCGAGAGGAAGGGCTGGGGTGCGGAGGAGCCAGCAGTGTCCTGGGCCTGGGGGTGTAGAGGGGCTGTCTGTGCTCCTGTGAGTGCACGGTGGGGGCACACGTGGACAGCTCCAGACCTGCGACCCCCAGCAGGGCGGGGTCCCTGTCAGAGGAGGGGCCTTTCCTGGCTATGGGGGCACACGGCCAAGCGTGGCCAGGCAGTGGCAGGGGGCCTGGGCAGAACGGGAAGTGCATTTAGGTCTGGGCTGGGGAGTTTGGATTTTAGTTCATAACTGGTGGAGAACCACGCAAGATTTTTTCCCTTTTTTTCTTATTTGAGAGATTTTTGCTATAAGTTATGTGCATTTCTCAGAGAGACCGAGAGATGGAGAATGAAAAGTCATCCCCCAGGGTGGGGGATGGCCACGTTGCAATCCTTTCTCCATTCTCCTCTCAGGATTTTGGGCACGCAGGCACATGTGCCCGGCGTGAGTTTTAAGCCACTGGGTTCAGGACTTGAACCGCGGTCAACCACGTGGGAGTCCAACAACAGCTTCACGCCATCTGCTGGTCCCGCCACAGAGGTTTTTAAGCAGAGCAGGATGGTCTGAGGAAGAGACCATCTGTTCAGTTGTCCACGTCCCACTCCATAGGCCTAAACTCGGCACCATGGCCAGCCCGGGTAGAGTCCTCAGCAAGGCCTGGTTGAGGACGACTTTGCCTTATGGGGCACAGGAGACCTGCTGAGTGGGTGCAGTGCCCGCTGTCCAGTGGGGCCGAGCGAAGGTGGGAGCAGGAGGGAGGCAGGGAGAGCAGGGCTCTCGGCCGGCCGGAGTCGAAGGGGCAGTGCAGCCTGCCTCCTGCCCCAGGGCGGCCCACGAGGAGCTCGCGCCTTGCCCGGCTCTGCACGCCAGCCCCCGGGACCCCCTCACGTTCCCTGGCTGCCAGCGACTTCTTCCAGCTGCGGCCCCGGGTACTCCTGCGCCGCTCCTCTGGCTTCTGAACGGCCCGGGGGTCCTGGCCGCCTCTGCCTGTGCTCTGCCCGGCTTTTCCAGCCACCCTCCTGGGGTTGTGTGCGGTTCACTACTCAGGGCCAGACCCGTCCCGGTGGTGTCCTAGGCGAGGCCCTGGCGGAGCCCCGGGAGGAAAGGGGACGTGGGTGGGGTGAGCAGAGGAAGGCAGACCCCGCCGTTCTGCTGGGAGCGCCCGGCCAAGGTGGCAGGCTCCCAGCTGAAGGGAGAATCCCGGGTGTACAGTGGGCACTTCTGTCAGGCACAGGGTGTGGTGGCAGAGACCCACGGTGTGCTCTTTCAGCACGGGGTTTCCGAGCTGTTGAGAAAGCGCGGCCCGATGCCTTGGCGTGCTGTCCCGGGAAGGCCCGTCTTGGCGCTGGTCTGTCAGTCCTGCCGTTAGGTGATGAGTAGCGCTCTGACTCTGGTCCCATGGAAGCCGACTTGTAAAAACAACCTGCTCTTAGGCAGGGGTTTATTTTCACCCGCCCTCTGGGCCATTGCCGTTTTACCGTCATTTCTTCCTGGGTTGTAGGTTCATTTTGCTGGCCTGTGACGGGCTCTTCAAGGTCTTTACCCCGGAAGAAGCCGTGAACTTCATCTTGTCCTGCCTCGAGGTGAGACTCACGAGGGGTGCTCGCGGTTAGTTCTAGTAGACGTCTGAGACCCCGTGTACCCCATGTACCCCAGGACAGCCCTCACGCTCCTTTTCAATATGAGCCCGGCCAGGGGAACTCCTGGTCAGCTTGTCTCCCCCCCGGCCCGGAGTGGCAGGGGAGTGATGGAGTGCCGAGTGCAGTCCAGTCGCCGAGTCACTGTCCTGCTTTCCTGGCGGGTAGGACGAGAAGATCCAGAGCCGAGAAGGGAAGCCCGCCGTGGACGCCCGCTACGAGGCGGCCTGCAACAGGCTGGCCAACAAGGCCGTGCAGCGGGGCTCAGCAGACAACGTCACGGTGATGGTGGTGCGGGTCGGTCGCTGAGGCGCGGCGTCCACCTGGGGCGTCAGTGTGTGCACATTTCTCGTGTTGCGTGCTCCTGTGGGTCTCCCGTGGTTGTAAATAAAGGTTTCTTTCTTTTTTTCCCAGTCTTCTGTTCTCTTACTACACTGGGAGCGCCTGGCGACCCTGCAGAGGTGCCGTGTTTGCGCTGGCATGTGCTCCCGGCTCTTCCTGGTACCAGCAGATGCCGCCAGCTGCTTGCAGCTGCGCTCCGGCCGGGCATCTGTGCCCACTCAGCCCCACGCTGGTGCTTTTGGGGCATGGCATTTTGCAGTGAGGATCTCCAAGGCCTGACTGACGGCACTGGACAGGGCAGGAGCCTCTTCAGACCGTTCCTCCCGAGAGATCCCAGGAAACCCTCATGCAAAATGCCACTTCCCCAGCTGACCCGGGTGGTCAGGCTGCTGTGGGGTGTTATCGCCTCTGTCCGCAGTGCCTGAATTGGGGGTCTGAGCAGGTGGTCCACACTGGGCTGAGACCTCCAGCCACACCTCCCAGAAGCCGCCTGTGGAGATGCATGGGCTGGGCACGCCACACACTCTCGCAGGATGGACTAGGGACCCTGCATGCTCTTCCTGGAGACCCCAAACCTGCTGCTGTCGCTCTGTTTCTCAGTAGAGCAGCCTGTAGGTGCTACTGTGTGAATATTTGACTCAGGATGATGTAAGATGATCAAAACTGGCCTTTTTGGAATATTCTCTGGCCCCTGCCCAACCTGTGTGCACCTGGTCAGTTTTGTTGCTGGAGCTCAGCGTGCAGCCCTTGGCGGCTCAGCTACGGCCTCAGGCATCCCTTAGACACTTGGGGGTGCGGGCTTGAGCACAACCATGACAGTGTTGGTGCTGCCGCCCTCCCCCTCCCCCCAGCAGCAAGGGCCAGGAGTCCGTTTCTGTTGGGGACTGGGACGTGTCATGGAGGTGAGCCTCGGCACCTGGGAACTAGGCGGTGTGCTTTATTTGTGGACACCAGGTGTCAGTCTGCACACTGGGCTGTGGCGCAGCTCCCTGATCCGGGCGGGGCTTGGCACTGTGGCTTCACTGGCAAGATTCCCCTACTTTCCTGCTAGTGTCAGGCATCCCAAGGAGCCTGCCTGTGGCCAGAGATCACCTGCCCAGCCCACCTCCGGAGCCCTCGCTGCCCTCAGTGAGCATGGCTGGAGGATCCGAGGCTGTCTGCAGGCCGGCCCGTGTCCCTGCCCAAGTGTGGCTGAGGCCACACAGTGCGGAGCCGCCGTGAAGGCACTGCATAGGAAGCACCGCGGTGACCCGGATCCCAGACGCCAGGAGACGACGCTGGCTTTCTCGGTGGTCAGAGATAACTGCTGGAGATGTCTGCTCCTGCTGGATACAACGCGAGTCGGGGGTGTGGCCACCCCTTATCAGCGCAGGGGAGGCAGGCCCGGGCCAGCCCACGCTTCCTGGTAGGGTGGGTGCCGGCCCTACTGAGAATCCGTAGGGCCTGTCCAGGAGGCACAGAGCCGGCAGCGTCTGATGACTACTGCCCAGGGCCTTGGCCTGGGGCTGGGGCGATGTTTGGTTCTGGAGTGAGGGGGAGGGAGCCGGGCTCCCAGGAGGTAGGGGCCAGCCAGGGAGTCTCCTCCCAGGCTAAGCACACTTGCAGACAGGCCCTGGCCCTGAGGAGGGTGTGTCACCAGGTCCCTTGCAGCCCACAGGAGGGGTGGCAGGGTCTTCTCTTAAGCAGGCAGTGGGGGCCCTGGAGGGAGTTGCTGAGGGTTGTCTCCACCCCTACCCAGGGACCGTCCTGCACTGTGGGTGAGAAGTGAGGCCGTTTACGCAGGCTGCAACCCTGTCTCCTTACGGGACCTGCTCTCCCCCCATCGCTCCGTAGACCTGAGTGCGGACAGCACCTGGACGCCAGGTTCACTGTCTTCCACATCCCCTGTCCAGTGACCATCTGCCCCCCCAAGGCTATTGTGCCAAGGGCCCAGAGAGCCACCCTCAGCGTCGAATTGAATTGAGTGTCTGAGCAGGTGTCCTGAGGCAGAGCGGGGAGAGGCAAGCAGTGCCAGGGAGCCCTGGTTAGGTCAGGGCAAGGAGTGGCCGGACCGCGGGGCTGGCCCTTGTGGAAAGGAGCTGAGGCTGGTTCTCAGGCTGCCCGAGGCCAGGAGGGAGCTGGCTCTGCAGCTGCAGATGACGCGTGCCCCAGGCATGCAACCTTCCAGTGGGCCTTTCCCTTTGGAAAGATGGCACCCTGCAATTCCTGGTCTGGAGACTGCCGGCTTGCGTGTGGTCACCTCGGCAACCCTGCCACCAT